TCAAGGCTAGATTACTGTAATGCTCTACTGGGTGGTTGCCCTGCACGCTTAATAAACAAACTCCAGCTGGTCCAAAACGCAGCCGCTCGAGTTCTTACCAGAACCAGGAAGTATGACCATATTAGCCCGGTTCTGTCAACACTGCATTGGCTCCCTATTAAACATCGTATAAATTTCAAAATATTGCCGATTACTTACAAAGCACTAAATGGTTTAGCTCCGCAGTGCTTGAGCGAGCTCTTAACGCATTATAGTCCTTCACGTCTATTGCGATCTCAAAGTTCCGGCCAGTTGATAATACCTAGAATATCTAAATCGACTGCAGGCGGGAGATCCTTTTCCTATTTAGCACCAAAACTCTGGAACAGTCTTCCTACCATTGTCCGGGAAGCAGACACACTCTGTCAGTTCAAAGCTAGACTAAAAACACATCTCTTTGACCTAGCATACACATAATACATTATAGACTTCTATAACTCAATGTTAGGCTGCATAGATTAGGTCAGCCGGAACTGGGAACACTTCCCTTAAATCCTGATGTGCTCGTTACATCATAAGAAGAATGGCATCTACGCTAACTTTATTGTCTTTGTTTATCCCGAGGTTTTCCCGCAGCCTGCCGGATCCAGGCCGTGTCCAGATCTGACGAAGGAGATTCGCCTGGACCCGATGACAATGCAGTGCTGAAGTATCCACTATCCTCTCCCTATGGAGGATCCCTTTCCCACTCTACAGATAAAGCGCTGTGAATTCCGGCTCGCGTACCCCGAAGTGATAAAACAAAATAAAATTCTGTATCAAAATTTATAGGCAAGACAAGTAGTTTGTTTAGGCTGGGTTGTCACAGCGTTTATCACAGGTTCAGTTTAAAGTCTGTGTAGAGAGAACGGTGTCGTCTTAGCGGCCCCTAATCTAATAACAAATGATCATTTCAACCGAAGTGAATCAATCAAAACTAACTTTAAAACCAACCCAATCTCTGTTACTTTAAATTATATTAAGTTTATCTCTGTAAAGCTGCTTTGAAACAATCTACATTGTTAAAAGCGCTATATAAATGAGGATGACTTGACTTAAGATTTCATAAAAAATATATTTGTGTTCCGAAGATGAATGAAAGACTTACGGGTTTGGACCAACATGAGTAATCACTGACTGAATTTTAATTTTTGGGTGAACGATCCCTAAACATGTCTGAGCTTTGACAGAGCAGCATCTGAGCACTTCATGCGTCCTCTGAGCTGAACTGATCTCAACTGCCTGATTTTTTATGTCATAGCAAAATGTAACTATATTATCCATTGTCCAGCTCTAATCTGCAAAAATGCAACTATAAGGCATGAAGAAATTAAATTACTATGAACATTAACATCAAGATTTTCTGCGCTATAGAAATACTGTTAAAGTACTACTAAATGTGGTTATTTTGTTGATTTTGCACCGGGAATCACTGAATTGGAAAAAGTTGAGCATCAATAAATAAATAAAGATTTTTTTTATATAATGTATAAATCATTATTTTAGTTATATATAAATTATTAATCATATTTATAATATTATTTATGCATTGTTGTTTACAATAAATGACTTCTCTAAATGCATTCAAGTTTCGTGTTGTGGTTTCATGTTGAAGTTACATAAACCTGAACAATAGCGGAGTAGAAGTATGCGGTCGGTCTGCATGCTGAGAGAACTCCTCACGCCCTCCTCTAGAGGTGCACCAGAGTCATCAACACGCGCACATTATTGAGCAGTGACTACTTATTAAGTAGGCTGTTTGTTTATTAAAGCTTCAAACGGATTCTTTTTCTGCTGATGGATTCTGTAAGAATGTCTTATAAAAATATATAATGTTCAACTCACTTAGAGGAGTGTGTTCATTTCTCAAGATTGATGAGAAAGTAGTACTCCATACTGTCCTATATTGCAAAAATCAAATGTACAAAAATAAGATTGAAGGGAAATTACATTTACTGAGGCTATATTCATTTTCCTTATGCTTTCAGCACATTGTGCAGCAGTTGATTTTTAATCTCTAGTGATTCTCTGAACATTCGCTTGAACAGCTTTAGTTTGGCTCCACCTGCAGGATAAAGCACAGCGTTACAGCCGAATGATTTAATTCTGCACACTGCAGACAACAAACCACAACTAAACTCATAATTCTTTGAGAAGATGTTTCTGGTAATCTTGAATCAAATCAGTTCCTCTTGCACCATCTCTTCTCTTCTCTGATGATGTGGGCGGGGCCACCTGTCACTCACATGAGATCAGCCAATAGCAAACCACAACCATCCAATCAATTCCCCACAAACACAATCAAGCCCCGCCCACATTTGTTCTTGTTCGAGAAGCCATGGCTCAATAGGGAAGAAAAAACTAGCGCAACTTCCGTTTCCTAGTGTCGACCTTAATTCATATCTTAATTTATTATTATTTTGATTAATAAAGGCTACATTTATTATTATATAAATTCATTATTTTATAAATCAATTAAATAAAGATATTAAAATTAAAATAGCTTTTGTGTTTTACTTACCCTAATTTCAACTCTGATCCTCTTTGGTTCTTGTTCAAAATAAGGCATATGTTATTTTATGTCTATATATTCAAATACGAGGCATCATGATCAATGAGTTGTGATTTACACATAAGGCAGATTACAGTTCGACCAAAACCCACCACTGTACAGAACGTGTTCATGATTCAATAAACGCAGCCGCTCGGTCTTTACCTTCAAACAACTCCAGAACAAACTCGTGATTCATCATCTCCAAAACAGCTGAAGTTCGGGATAAACTTACAGAAATATAAACAAGCAGGTTTTCATCAACCATCATTCTCTCATAGCTAAGGCTTCTCACAGTTCATAGATCTCAGAAATCTCTCCAAAGTGCTTATGAATTTTACCGTAATCACTGACGAGCTTCATATGGTGAATACAGGAATATTTTGCCGCGCGTTGAAGGTCAACATCATTTCCGGTCAAATGCGCGCGCTATTCGTGTTCGTGTTCTCGAAGATACTCACTCACTAGTTCCTCGTGTCTATATATGAGTGTAACGTTTTTTAAAGAAATTGTTCACCTAAAAATGTATGCTCTTTTTTTTATTTTTTTTATTTTTTTTTGGAGCTTGACAGTATTTGTAAATGGCATACTTGTTTGGGAAAGAACTATGTGAAGATTCAGCAATTTTCCATTTATTGAGTGCTAGCAAACTGTTAATTTTTTTCTTAATTATTTAATGATTTTTATGTATTTATCTTTTTCTATTCATATTTAATATTTTATTCATGGTTGTTAGTATCAGCTCCAGTCCAGCAGGTGTCGCTGCGTGTCGTCCACCGTGTGACGCAGCAGTGAAGAAGATAGAGAAGACACGTGATGTTTGTGTTCACTCCAGCATGTGGAGGGAGATCTGTCAGGCTGGTTTGATTGTAATATTCCCATAAGTTCCAGTCTGGGTAAGACAACAACATCATCAACATCGACGTCACTGTTTGATTTTACTGGCGAGGTTAGGGTTTTGTAGTTTATTTCAGTCTCAATGTATGCGTGCTGCTGGCTCTCTGACACATTCGTGTGTGTGTGTGTGTGAGAGAGAGAGAGAGAGAGAGAGAGAGAGAGAGAGAGAGAGAGAGAGAGAGAGAGAGAGAGAGAGAGAGAGAGAGAGAAGATTTAAGTATGTTATAATATTTTACTATTTTGATGTCTTTATAATTATTCTATGTATTCCAAGCTTTGGTAATATTGAATGATGTACAGTCATGCCAATAAAGCAATTTTTAATTGAATTTGAATTGAGAGAGAGAGAGTGATGTGTGTGTGTGAGTGAGTGAGAGAGAGTGAGAGTGTAAGAATGTGATGTGATGTGATGTGTGTGTGTGTGTGTGTGTGTGTGTGTGTGAGAGAGAGAGAGAGAGAGAGAGAGAGAGATGTGTGTGTGTGTGTGAGAGAGAGAGAGAGAGAGAGAGAGAGAGAGTGATGTGTGTGTGTGTGTGTAAGAGAGAGAGAGAGAGAGAGAGAGAGAATGTGTGTGTGTGTGTGTGTTTGTGTGTGTGTGTGTGAGTGAGAGAGAGAGAGAGAGTGATGTCTGTGTGTGAGAGAGAGAGAGAGAGTGATGTGTGTGTGTGTGTGTGTGAGAGAGAGAGAGAGATAGAGAGAGAGAGTGATGTGTGCGTCTGAGAGAGTGATATGTGTGTGTCTGAGAGAGAGAGTATATGTATGTGAGAGATAGAGAGAGAGAGAGTGATGTGTGTGTCTGAGAGAGAGAGTGTATGTATGTGAGAGATAGAGAGAGAGAGAGTGATGTGTGTGTGTGAGAGAGAGAGAGAGTGATGTGTGTGTGTGTGTGTGTGTGTGTGTGAGAGAGAGAGAGTGTGAGAGTGATGTGTGTGTGTGTGTGTGTGTGTCTGAGAGAGAGAGTGGTGTGTGTGTGTGTGTGTGAGAGAGAGTGAGAGTGATGTGTGTGTGTCTGAGGGAGAGAGTGTATGTGAGAGAGAGAGAGAGACTGTTTAAGTTATTGCACTTTCTGTCAATGATTAGCGATATAGGTATTTTCATCCTTACTTTATCCAACTGGTTCTTCTCAATTGAGATTACAGCCGGGTTATTACTAGAAATTACCCAACGATTTTAAAATATGACCCAACATTTTTGGAAAATATAACCCAACAATGTGTGACCCAATATGTATAACCCAACGTTTTTTACTGTCTTTCACTGAATCTGAGCTGTTATTACAGAGACGGCAGCAGAAATGTTAGGCTGCTGTCACTTTAAGAGCTGCACTGATCCAATATACTGATACACATCTGTGAAAAACACAGAAAACAGAGTCTCTTGCTCTTGAATGGTTTAAAGTCATTTTGAAAGGCTAACAAAAGGAATCGAAATTAAAATTAAAAAGTATCTGAATCCTGACCTCAAGTATTCGATTCAAGAATTGGAATCGATATTTGATTCCCAAACATAGTTGTTTCTGCAGGTCTGCAGCTGTGTTCACCGCCTGGCTTCTGCGATGACGAACACGGAGGGCGTGAAGGTTCTGCCGGCGGATGCGGCGGACACACACACTCAGCGCTGTCGAATGGGCCCGGCTCTGATGAGCAGGTTAGGCCTGAGGCTGGGTTCTCCGGTTCTGATCCGGGTTCTGCAGGGGGCGTGTGTGTGCACCGCATGGCCTCGACGGGACCTCGCGGACGGGTTCCTGCAGATCAGCACCCAGTGCTCCACACCGGACCTCGACGGGCTCATCAACCCGCACATCAAACCACTAAAGTGCCCGAAACTCACCAGTGTGAGCGTGAAAGTGTTCGTGCGGAATCTGAAACACGAGAGCGAACCCGTTCACGAGCTGCTGGAGGGGCTTTACGTGCACGAGGGTCACTTGGTGAATTTGGGTGTGGACACCGAGATCAGGTTTGTTCTGGTTGAGACGGTGAACTCAGGCTCGCAGAAAGCGGGTTTGGTTACGGCTAGAACTCGCGTTGATGTCGTCGCGATACAATCCGTTAAACACATGGAGAGGCGGAAGGTGTCCGGATCGACTCTAGGTGGCGTTGAGGACGTTTACGCCTCGCTGAAAGAAATGATCACGTTTCCGTTGCGTTACCCGGCGGTTCTGCGGACTCTGGGTCTGTCGTGTCCACGAGGGCTTCTGCTAATCGGGCCTCCCGGCGTCGGGAAGACGCTTCTAGTGCGCCACGTCGCGCAGGACATCGGAGCCGCGCTAGTGACCGTGAACGGGCCTGACGTCACGGGCTCTCGACCCGGAGAGAGCGAGGAGAACCTGCGGCGGGTGTTCGATCAGGCCCGGGCCGAGGCGGAGGAGGGTCCGTGTGTTCTGCTCATCGATGAGATCGACTCGCTGTGCCCGAGGAGAACGGAGAGCAGTGGAGCGCCGGAGAACCGGCTCGTCGCGCAGCTGCTAACGCTAATGGACGCCATCGGCAGTCGTGAGGGATTCGTGATCATCGGAGCCACTAACCAACCGGACGCTCTCGACCCAGCGCTCAGGAGACCCGGGAGGTTCGACAGGGAGGTACTTCTGATCACTCCTTAATAACTGCATTCGTTTACAATGAAAAATATTTCTAAAGCATTTTTAACATGAACAGTTGTATTTTTATGAACTATCATGAGCGCTGGAAGAGGTGGATGTTTACCTACAAACCGTTGTACTGTAGGAAACAAACTAAAAAAGTGCTTTTGGATTGCTGTCCTGTGCGTTTGCAATCCCCTTGCGGTGTGTGTTGTTCTGGCGTGTCCTGCAGGTGATCATCGGCGCGCCCTCGCTGCTGCAGAGGCGCAGTATTCTGACGTGTGTGTGTCGAGAGATGCCGCTCTCCCCGGATGTGGATCTGAACGCTGTGGCTGAGATGACCTGTGGCTTCGTCGGGGCGGATCTGAGCGCGCTCAGTAGAGAGGCAGCGCTGCAGGCCATGAGGCACTCACAGGTACAGTCTCTGACCGGCCGTTTGAGCCATAAAAGCCTCTGATTTATTCCTCTGTGATGAGTTGTGATGAGTTGTGATGAGTGATGAGTTGTGATGAGTGATGAGTTGTGATGAGTTGTGATGAGGCTTAAAAAAAATTTTTGTTTGGTTCCGGTTTCCGACCGACCCTGTCAATTTATGTGCGACCCAAATTTATTTTATGAGCTTGGGGAAGAAATAATAAAAATTAAATAAATACACAAATAAAAAACTGAGGCGAACTATAATTTACGTTTTTGTACGGCACGCGATGCAAGATGCCTGTTGTCCTCCAGCAAAACAAACGAGCAACATGGTCGTTCACACATCGTTCGTCAAACTGAACTATAATACATATACAAGTATTTTTTTTTTTTTTTTGTCATTAAGGACACTTTTATTCATATACGCACACATACAAATGCATGCATTCATAGGCACGCACACACCACATGAGTTACAGAGTAACCTCCATCCGCCTCCCAAGTTTCATTAAAAATCATCCCAAATCCCAATACCCTCTTCTGCTGTCTACCACTTCTTTCGCCATGTATTTGTTCGTTTCTTTTATTATTTTATGCAATCCAAAACACTCTAACCTGCCGCGCTTCTATCTCCAGAGCCCGTCTAACTTGTCCGCGACAAATGGATTTTTGAAGGACAAGTAAAAGAGAATTTTACTTGCCCGAACGGACAAGTAGCCTGATTAGAACATCAATAACAAACAAAAAAATAACTAGGGATCACTAAACCGAGAGAATGATTCTGATTTTATTACATTTATTGTAAGTTGCGATCGATTGTGGATAATAAATGTATTAGCCTGCTGACGGTGAGGTGCGCTGTTGACGCTCGCGCAGCCTCTCGAGGAGAAATCTACACACATGAGCGCAGCACACACACACACACACACACAGGTTAACAACATACTGCCTATAAAAATCTAAATGTGGAGTTTCTATATTTTAACATTTGTGTTAAGCAGCCTCAATTATTTTTCCTGAATACCATATCACGATTGAAAATGTGACATTGATTTCCTACAACAGTTCAATAAACAGTTAAAATTAAGTCACTTACATTTTAGATGAAATATTGGCTGTTTTTGTTCTGTTTCTGCAGCGAAAATAGTTCCAAACAAAAATCACAGCAGAACCACGGCGCATCTCACAGGAACACTCAACCTGTTTTCATTACTGAATGATTCAGCATTTTGACCGAATCGGTTGAGTCAAAGATTCAATGACCCATTCATTTCATCTGTCTCATTCTTGAATGAATCAACCGTTTAAACGAATCGTTTGAATTAATGAATCAATGACTCACTCATTAATACGGCCGCCTGCCGCCACCTATTGGCAGTTTAGTGTTATGTTTGTAAGTAGCCTAGTATACTTCTTTCCGATGTTTCTTATTTGTACATTTAAATCAATTTCATAACATTATTTTATGCAATTGTAATTTTTCAGTGTAAATTATTTAATTTGATCAGCCCTACCTAGGGTAACAGTATGCTTGATCTTTCATTTTAAATTCCTAAATTTGATCAATAAATTCAATTATTTAGAATAAGACGACACTATAGGGCATTTAATAAGATTGGGGGAGGGGATGCCCTTCAAAGGTGCAGATATTACAATATGCCAATTTAAATATCAAAGCTGATTGAACACTGATGAGAACATTGCTTCAGAATAAATAAATTTTAAAAAATCCGGACAAGCAACTTTTTTACTCTGACAAGTGAATGACAGATTTACTTGTTTGGAGGGCAAGCATATGAAAAGGCTTAAGGTCGAGCCCTGAATAATTTCCTACCTATCCCTTGCTGCTGCCACTTAAAAAAAAAAAAAAAAAAAAAAATCCCTACCGACCCATGACCTCAACTGACAACAAACCAGAACCAAACTTTTTTTTTTTTTATGCCTGAGTGATGAGTTGTGATGGGTGATGAGTTGTGATGAGTTGTGATGAGTGATGAGTTGTGATGAGTGATGAGTTGTGATGAGTTGTGATGAGTGATGAGTTGTGATGAGTGATGAGTTGTGATGAGTTGTGATGAGTGATGAGTTGTGATGAGTGATGAGTTGTGATGAGTTGTGATGAGTGATGAGTTGTGATGAGTGATGAGTTGTGATGAGTTGTGATGAGTGATGAGTTGTGATGAGTTGTGATGAGTGATGAGTTGTGATGGGTGATGAGTTGTGATGAGTTGTGATGAGTGATGAGTTGTGATGAGTTGTGATGGGTGATGAGTTGTGATGAGTTGTGATGGGTGATGAGTTGTGATGAGTTGTGATGAGTTGTGATGAGTTGTGATGAGTTGTGATGAGTTGTGATGAGTTGTGATGAGTTGTGATGAGTGATGAGTTGTGATGAGTGATGAGTTGTGATGAGTTGTGATGAGTGATGAGTTGTGATGAGTGATGAGTTGTGATGAGTGATGAGTTGTGATGAGTTGTGATGAGTGATGAGTTGTGATGAGTTGTGATGAGTGATGAGTTGTGATGAGTTGTGATGAGTTGTGATGAGTTGTGATGAGTGATGAGTTGTGATGAGTTGTGATGAGTGATGAGTTGTGATGAGTTGTGATGAGTGATGAGTTGTGATGAGTTGTGATGAGTTGTGATGAGTTGTGATGAGTTGTGATGAGTGATGAGTTGTGATGAGTTGTGATGAGTTGTGATGAGTGATGAGTTGTGATGAGTGATGAGTTGTGATGAGTTGTGATGAGTGATGAGTTGTGATGAGTGATGAGTTGTGATGAGTTGTGATGAGTGATGAGTTGTGATGAGTTGTGATGAGTTGTGATGAGTTGTGATGAGTTGTGATGAGTTGTGATGAGTGATGAGTTGTGATGAGTTGTGATGAGTTGTGATGAGTGATGAGTTGTGATGAGTGATGAGTTGTGATGAGTGATGAGTTGTGATGAGTGATGAGTTGTGATGAGTTGTGATGAGTTGTGATGAGTTGTGATGAGTTGTGATGAGTTGTGATGAGTTGTGATGAGTGATGAGTTGTGATGAGTTGTGATGAGTTGTGATGAGTTGTGATGAGTTGTGATGAGTTGTGATGAGTGATGAGTTGTGATGAGTGATGAGTTGTGATGAGTGATGAGTTGTGATGAGTTGTGATGAGTTGTGATGAGTGATGATGAGTGATGAGTTGTGATGAGTTGTGATGAGTAGGGATGCAACGATTACAGATTTTCTAAGTACGATTATTGTCTGAGAAATAATCACGGTTTAACGATTATCACGATTATTATGCATCAATTAATTTCACAACACTACTAATGTATAATATCACATGAACACTCAACACTAGATTTTAATGTGTTATTTATTGTTGCCACAACACAGTACAAAATTATAAAATGGCAAACAATAATCAATCTCTTCCTTTGGAATTAAAGAGAAGTGCTTTGTAAACATCCAGCATTTTTCTTTTAAAAATAACAAATTAAGTCAAAGGCTGCAGGACTCTTTGATTGAAATAGATCACAAAATTATTAAGTTTTTAGTTTGTTCTAAATTTATTTTCAACCTGAGGTAGAAAACTTGATAACATGAAAACAATATCTTGTTGGTATTTTTCTTAAAAACATAAATAAAGGGATAATAAATCCCAATGAAAATAAGAATAAACAAAGTATTTGGCTGGCTCTATTGAATTAAATGCAAGCTAAATATTAGGCCTATGTATTTCTTTTAAAAAAAACAAATATAGTCAAAATTTTATCCACCAATATTATTGTACTTATTTTAATACTCTTTTTTTAATTATTAATCCAAATTGTACATGTGCCTTTAGAAAATCATCTATTATAATCTCATTATTTTTTACATTATTACAAATTTAAAATAACTTTTAAATAATTTGATGTTTGTTTGAAGTTTAAGTAAAAATTATAGAAAGTAACTGAGAACATCTCTCATGCAGTGTTATTAATAACTGAAATGCAGTTAATTGGTAGTCCTAGAAGTCTACATGATCTTATGTTAGTGTTTTACACCGGGCATATTAAAACTACAAAGCCTAACATTTACTCAACACAGACAGGAGAAAGCAATAGGATATTAAGTTAAATGTTCACTGAAACTCTTGAGAGCACGTCACATTCGGTTTTCCACAGACTTGCGTAACCAAAACATTCCGCTGTTTTTTCTTGTTGTTTTTTTTACGTTGCACTGAAAGCTGAAAGTTGCACGCCGCGTTCTCCTTTTTCCAAAGCGCTAGGGCGGTTGCGCTCCGGAGGCGTCTGTCGTTGCTCTGTTAGTTCTTGTCACTTGACCTACGGTGCGCTTGCAGCATTCTGAAAAGTAGAGATGTTTTTATCTAGATGCGGCGCGGACGCGCTTGGAAAAAACGAGCGCGTCGCTTCCATTATGAGCGCGCATACCGCGCGCGCCTACATTTGAAATAACGAACTTGAGCGCGCAAAAGACGCGATATGTGAACACGCACTTAAGGTGTTTTTTCGGTGGAAATAGAGCGTCGCTGCTTAGTCCCTCTGCCATAGTGGTTGACGAGCACGGCACTTTAAGCTGGTGCACCGCTGGTGTAACTGTTTTCGTTTTGTGTTAGGTGCAAAAGTTCCGTACTTTGCAGAACACTCGGTGTAGCATAGTCTTTACGATTAATTAACCGTGACGTTTTAAAGCGCGGTTAATTGTGAAATCCGGTAATCGCTGCATCCCTAGTGATGAGTTGTGATGAGTTGTGATGAGTGATGAGTTGTGATTGTGATGAGTTGTGATTGTGATGAGTTGTGATTGTGATGAGTTGTGATGAGTGATGAGTTGTGATGAGTGATGAGTTGTGATGAGTGATGAGTTGTGATGAGTGATGAGTTGTGATGAGTGATGAGTTGTGATGAGTTGTGATTGTGATGAGTTGTGATTGTGATGAGTTGTGATGAGTTGTGATTGTGATGAGTTGTGATTGTTATGAGTTGTGATTGTGATGAGTTGTGGTTGTGATTGTGATGAGTTGTGATGAGTTGTGATTGTGATGAGTTGTGATTGTGATGAGTTGTGATTGTGATGAGTTGTGATTGTGATGAGTTGTGATTGTGATGAGTTGTGATTGTGATGAGTTGTGATGAGTTGTGATGAGTGATGAGTTGTGATTGTGATGAGTTTTGATTGTGATGAGTTGTGATTGTGATGAGTTTTGATTGTGATGAGTTGTGATTGTGATGAGTTTTGATTGTGATGAGTTGTGATTGTGATGAGTTGTGATGAGTGATGAGTTGTGATTGTGATGAGTTGTGATTGTGATGAGTTGTGGTTGTGATTGTGATGAGTTGTGATTGTGATGAGTTGTGATTGTGATGAGTTGTGATTGTGATGAGTTGTGATTGTGATGAGTTGTGATTGTGATGAGTTGTGATGAGTTGTGATTGTGATGAGTTGTGATTGTGATGAGTTGTGATTGTGATGAGTTGTGATTGTGATGAGTTGTGATTGTGATGAGTTGTGATTGTGATGAGTTGTGATTGTGATGAGTTGTGGTTGTGATTGTGATGAGTTGTGATGAGTGATGAGTTGTGATTGTGATGAGTTGTGATTGTGATGAGTTGTGATTGTGATGAGTTGTGATTGTGATGAGTTGTGATTGTGATGAGTTGTGATTGTGATGAGTTGTGATGAGTTGTGATTGTGATGAGTTGTGATGAGTGATGAGTTGTGATTGTGATGAGTTGTGATTGTGATGAGTTGTGATTGTGATGAGTTGTGATTGTGATGAGTTGTGGTTGTGATTGTGATGAGTTGTGATGAGTTGTGATGAGTTGTGATTGTGATGAGTTGTGATTGTGATGAGTTGTGATGAGTTGTGATGAGTTGTTATTGTGATGAGTTGTGATTGTGATGAGTTGTGATTGTGATGAGTTGTGGTTGTGATTGTGATGAGTTGTGATGAGTTGTGATGAGTTGTGATTGTGATGAGTTGTGATTGTGATGAGTTGTGATTGTGATGAGTTGTGATTGTGATGAGTTGTGATTGTGATGAGTTGTGATGAGTTGTGATTGTGATGAGTTGTGATTGTGATGAGTTGTGATTGTGATGAGTTGTGATTGTGATGAGTTGTGGTTGTGATGAGTTGTGATTGTGATGAGTTGTGATTGTGATGAGTTTTGATTGTGATGAGTTGTGATTGTGATGAGTTGTGATGAGTTGTGATGAGTGATGAGTTGTGATTGTGATGAGTTTTGATTGTGATGAGTTGTGATTGTGATGAGTTTTGATTGTGATGAGTTGTGATTGTGATGAGTTTTGATTGTGATGAGTTGTGATTGTGATGAGTTGTGATGAGTGATGAGTTGTGATTGTGATGAGTTGTGATTGTGATGAGTTGTGATTGTGATGAGTTGTGATTGTGATGAGTTGTGATTGTGATGAGTTGTGGTTGTGATGAGTTGTGATGAGTTGTGATGAGTTGTGATGAGTTGTGATGAGTGATGAGTTGTGATTGTGATGAGTTGTGATTGTGATGAGTTGTGATTGTGATGAGTTGTGATTGTGATGAGTTGTGGTTGTGATTGTGATGAGTTGTGATGAGTTGTGATTGTGATGAGTTGTGATTGTGATGAGTTGTGATTGTGATGAGTTGTGGTTGTGATGAGTTGTGATTGTGATGAGTTGTGATGAGTTGTGATGAGTTGTGATGAGTTGTGATGAGTTGTGATGAGTTGTGATGAGTTGTGATGAGTTGTGATGAGTGATGAGTTGTGATTGTGATGAGTTGTGATTGTGATGAGTTGTGATTGTGATGAGTTGTGGTTGTAGTTGTGATGAGTTGTGATTGTGATGAGTTGTGATGAGTTGTGATGAGTTGTGATGAGTTGTGATGAGTTGTGATGAGTTGTGATGAGTTGTGATGAGTTGTGATTGTGATGAGTTGTGATTGTGATGAGTTGTGATTGTGATGAGTTGTGATTGTGATGAGTGATGAGTTGTGATGAGTTGTGATTGTGATGAGTTGTGATTGTGATGAGTTGTGATTGTGATGAGTTGTGGTCGTTATGAGTAGTGGTTGTGATTGTGATGAGTTGTGATTGTGATGAGTTGTGATTGTGATGAGTTGTGATTGTGATGAGTTGTGGTCGTTATGAGTAGTGGTTGTGATTTGTCGTGGTCGTTCAGGCGGGAGCGAGTGAGCCGGTGTCGATGCAGCACTTCATGCGAGCGCTGCGGCACGTGCAGCCGTCGTGTTTGAGGAGCAGTATCGGAGCGACTGACTTCAAACCCATCAGCTGGGAGGAGATCGGAGGGCTAGAGGACGTGAAGCTCAAACTCAAACAGGTGCAAGAGTTCTCCGACCGGAACACACTGCCCAGTTAGAAAATTGTTTTTGTCAGTGTTTATTTAAAAAACATCCAATTATCCAGAATATACGATGGTAAATATTTAATTGATGAGTTGTCAATACAATATATAGGGTTTGATTTTACCCCATAATTCAGCATATCGACACAAAATAATAACTGCAAATCCACCGTTCTCTGCCTGGAGTCGTTGTTTCTGTGAATCGCGGATCCATTTGCGTCTCTGTTCTGTGGCTTTCAGCACTCTGTAAAAATATACTTCAGATTTCTTGTCAAATCTATTTATACAGTCGATCTCAAAGCTCTTCCCCGGTTTAGATGCGTTTTGTGTGTTTTTCGCGGCTGAAAGCAAATGCTGCCACTCGGTGTGTGTAACAGCCGACGGTGACGTCACACGCATACACACACTATAGACCTTATGTAGCCCCGCCCCTTTTCAGCACTGCGCTCGTTGTCTTTTGTCTTCCGGTTTGTATTTACACTACGATCTTACGTATTTATGAATGAACGACTCGTTTTAAAAAAAACTTCCCGATCTAGTACTGACATTTAAGACATCTGCTTTAAACCTTACAATGCTCGTAATAACTTTTTCGTTTACTCTACAAGTAAATCCACTTCACCAGCTAATTACTCCTCGACAGCAATGGTCTATAAAGGAAGAGTTCAGTTCTTCTGTTTACTGATGCCGCTTGTGTTCAGAGTATCGAGTGGCCCATGCGGTTTCCAGAAGCACTGGTGCGGATGGGTGTTTCTCGGCCCAGAGGAGTGTTGCTGTACGGGCCGCCCGGGTGTGCCAAGACCTCGCTGGTGAAAGCAGCCGCCTCTTCGTCACACTGCACCTTCTTCTCCATCAGCGGAGCCCAGCTGTTCTCTCCTTACGTGGGAGACTCAGAGAAAACACTCGCACAGGTCTGACATCACACACTTAAAGGAGTAGTTCACCCAAAAATGAGAATTAGCTCATGATTTACTCTCCGTCAAGCCATCCTAGTGTATATGACATTCTTCTTTCAGACGAATACAATCAGAGTTATATTAAAAATGGCTCTTCCAAGCTTTATAATAACAGTGAATTGCAACCATCAGTTTGAAGCTCAAAAAAGTGCATCTGTCCATCATAAAAGTGCATCTGTCCATCATAAAAGTGCATCTGTCCATCATAAAAGTGCATCTATCCATCATAAAAGTGCATCTATCCATCATAAAAGTGCATCTGTCCATCATAAAAGTGCATCTGTCCATCATAAAAGTGCATCTGTCCATCATAAAAGTGCATCTATCCATGATAAAAGTGCATCTATCCATGATAAAAGTGCATCTATCCATGATAAAAGTGCATCTATCCATCATAAAAGTGCATCTATCCATCATAAAAGTGCATCTGTCCATCATAAAAGTGCATCTGTCCATCATAAAAGTGCATCTGTCCATCATAAAAGTGCATCTATCCATCATAAAAGTGCATCTGTCCATAATAAAAGTGCATCTATCCATCATAAAAGTGCATCTATCCATCATAAAAGTGCATCTGTCCATCATAAAAGTGCATCTATCCATCATAAAAGTGCATCTATCCATCATAAAAGTGCATCTATCCATCATAAAAGTGCATCTGTCCATCATAAAAGTGCATCTGTCCATAATAAAAGTGCATCTATCCATCATAAAAGTGCATCTATCCATCATAAAAGTGCATCTGTCCATAATAAAAGTGCATCTATCCATCATAAAAGTGCATCTATCCATCATAAAAGTGCATCTGTCCATCATAAAAGTGCATCTATCCATCATAAAAGTGCATCTGTCCATAATAAAAGTGCATCTATCCATCATAAAAGTGCATCTATCCATCATAAAAGTGCATCTGTCCATCATAAAAGTGCATCTGTCCATCATAAAAGTGCATCTATCCATCATAAAAGTGCATCTGTCCATCATAAAAGTGCATCTATCCATCATAAAAGTGCATCTATCCATCATAAAAGTGCATCTATCCATCATAAAAGTGCATCTGTCCATCATAAAAGTGCATCTATCCATCATAAAAGTGCATCTATCCATCATAAAAGTGCATCTATCCATCATAAAAGTGCATCTGTCCATCATAAAAGTGCATCTGTCCATCATAAAAGTGCATCTGTCCATCATAAAAGTGCATCTATCCATCATAAAAGTGCATCTGTCCATCATAAAAGTGCATCTATCCGTGATAAAAGTGCATCTATCCATCATAAAAGTGCAGCTATCCATCATAAAAGTGCATCTGTCCATAATAAAAGTGCATCTGTCCATCATAAAAGTGCATCTGTCCATCATAAAAGTGCATCTGTCCATCATAAAATTGCATCTGTCCATCATAAAAGTGCATCTATCCATAATAAAAGTGCATCTATCCATCATAAAAGTGCATCTATCCGTGATAAAAGTGCATCTATCCATCATAAAAGTGCAGCTATCCATCATAAAAGTGCATCTATCCATCATAAAAGTGCATCTATCCATCATAAAAGTGCATCTATCCATCATAAAAGTGCATCTATCCATCATAAAAGTGCATCTGTCCATAATAAAAGTGCATCTATCCATCATAAAAGTGCATCTATCCGTGATAAAAGTGCATCTATCCATCATAAAAGTGCATCTATCCATCATAAAAGTGCATCTGTCCATAATAAAAGTGCATCTATCCATCATAAAAGTGCATCTATCCATCATAAAAGTGCATCTATCCATCATAAAAGTGCATCTGTCCATAATAAAAGTGCATCTATCCATCATAAAAGTGCATCTATCCATCATAAAAGTGCATCTGTCCATAATAAAAGTGCATCTATCCATCATAAAAGTGCATCTATCCATCATAAAAGTGCATCTATCCATCATAAAAGTGCATCTGTCCATAATAAAAGTGCATCTATCCATCATAAAAGTGCATCTATCCGTGATAAAAGTGCATCTATCCATCATAAAAGTGCATCTATCCATCATAAAAGTGCATCTGTCCATAATAAAAGTGCATCTGTTCATCATAAAAGTGCATCTGTCCATCATAAAAGTGCATCTGTCCATCATAAAAGTGCATCTATCCATCATAAAAGTGCATCTGTCCATCATAAAAGTGCATCTGTCCATCATAAAAGTGCATCTATCCATGATAAAAGTGCATCTATCCGTCATAAAAGTGCATCTATCCATGATAAAAGTGCATCTATCCATCATAAAAGTGCATCTATCCATCATAAAAGTGCATCTATCCATGATAAAAGTGCATCTATCCATCATAAAAGTGCATCTATCCATCATAAAAGTGCATCTATCCATCATAAAAGTGCATCTGTCCATCATAAAAGTGCATCTATCCGTGATAAAAGTGCATCTATCCATCATAAAAGTGCATCTATCCATCATAAAAGTGCATCTATCCATCATAAAAGTGCATCTATCCATGATAAAAGTGCATCTATCCATCATAAAAGTGCATCTATCCATCATAAAAGTGCATCTATCCATCATAAAAGTGCATCTGTCCATCATAAAAGTGCATCTATCCATCATAAAAGTGCATCTATCCGTGATAAAAGTGCATCTATCCATCATAAAAGTGCATCTATCCATCATAAAAGTGCATCTATCCATCATAAAAGTGCATCTGTCCATCATAAAAGTGCATCTATCCATCATAAAAGTGCATCTGTCCATCATAAAAGTGCATCTATCCATCATAAAAGTGCATCTATCCGTGATAAAAGTGCATCTATCCATCATAAAAGTGCATCTATCCATCATAAAAGTGCATCTATCCATCATAAAAGTGCATCTGTCCATAATAAAAGTGCATCTGTCCATCATAAAAGTGCATCTATCCATCATAAAAGTGCATCTGTCCATCATAAAAGTGCATGGAAAAAATACTCATGCAGCTCTTCAAACTGATGGTTGCCATTATAAAGCTAGGAAGTGTCGGGGTGTTTATTAATATAACACTGATTGTATTCGTCTGAAAGAAGAAAGTCATATCCACTAGGATGACTTGAGGGCGAGTAAATCATGGGCTAATTCTCATTTTAAAGAGAACTTCTCCTTTAGCTCTGAGCTGGTCTCAGCGATGTTCTGGACGTCTCTCGTCTGCAGTTGTTCGCTCAGGCGCGAGCGTGTGCGCCGTCCATCGTGTTCCTGGATGAGATCGACAGTATGGTGGGCTCTCGAGCGGACAGCGCCTCGTCTCACAGTGTCCAGTCGCAGGTTCTGTCGGTTCTGCTGACCGAGCTGGACGGCGTGGGGATCCGGGCCGTGGAGCGGCGGAGCGAGGGAAGAAAGATGGCTCAGATGGAGGGAGGAGAGCAGGAGGAAGCCAGAACACATCAGGTCAGAGATGCTCTTATGCCCTAATGAGCTGAAGCACTTTAACCCTCGTCCCTCAGAATGACCTGAAGCCCTGAAATTATACTTAATTTTTATTATTTTTTTCAGAATGCTTATTTTATTTTATTTAGTTATTTTCTCTATTTTTAATGCATTTTTTTAATGCAAAATAACTAGATTTGATCAATAAATAACAAATAAAGAGTAATTTAAGAACATTCTTTCAACTTAAATTCAAAATAACTCACAATTTCATGCATAACCCTTTTAATTCAGCTCTAAATATCCTACATTGTGTGTCTCTGACCTCTTGTGGAAATAAATAATATAACATTTCATGACTCTAGATGGGCTTACAGCTCTACTGTATATGAAGCAAATAATAACAAATCATTTGTTAACAAACAACTATTCATTACTTCAATGAGCTCATTGTTTCTGCATTAAACTTGTACATTTTTTTAATTAATACCTTTTACGCTAACTGCGATTTTTTTTTTTATATGTACATTTCCGAAATGCAATGCGTGTGTGTGTGTGATTTCAGATGGAACTCCAGGAAGTGTGTAATAAGGATGTTTTGATAGTGGCTGCCACTAATAGAGCCGAGGTTCTGGACAGCGCTTTGCTCAGACCCGGCCGACTCGACCAGATCATATACGTGCCTCCTCCAGACCGAGCGGTGAGACAGGCCACACACACCTCACACACACACACCTCAGCCACACACACACACACACCTCAGCCACACACACACACACACCTCAGCCACAGCCACACACACCTCAGCCACACACACCTCACACACTTCAGCCACACACAGCTCAGCCACACACACCTCACACACACACACACCACACACACCTCAGCCACACACAGCTCAGCCACACACACCTCACACACACACACACCACACACACCTCAGCCACACACACCTCAGCCACACACACACACACACCTCAGCCACACACAGCTCAGCCACACACACACACACACCTCAGCCACACACAGCTCAGCCACACACACCTCACACACACACACCTCAGCCACACACACACACACACACACACCTCAGCCACACACACCTCAGCCACACACACCTCAGCCACACACAGCTCAGCCACACACACCTCACACACACACACCTCAGCCACACACACACACACACCTCAGCCACACACAGCTCAGCCACACACACACACACACACCTCAGCCACACACAGCTCAGCCACACACACCTCACACACACACACACCACACACACCTCAGCCACACACACCTCAGCCACACACACCTCACATACACACCTCACACACACACCTCAGCCACACACACACACCACACACACCTCAGCCACACACACCTCAGCCACACACACCACACACACACCTCAGCCACACACACCACACACACCTCAGCCACACACACCACACACACCTCAGCCACACACACACCTCACATACACACCTCACACACACACCTCAGCCACACACACACACCACACACCTCAGCCACACACACCACACACACACCACACACACACCTCAGCCACACACACCTCACATACACACCTCACACACACACCTCAGCCACACACACACACCACACACACCTCAGCCACACACACCTCAGCCACACACACCACACACACACCTCAGCCACACACACCACACACACCTCAGCCACACACACCACACACACCTCAGCCACACACACACCTCACATACACACCTCACACACACACCTCAGCCACACACACACACCACACACCTCAGCCACACACACCACACACACACCTCAGCCACACACACCACACACACCTCAGCCACACACACCACACACACACCTCAGCCACACACACCTCAGCCACACACACCTCACATACACACCTCACACACACACCTCAGCCACACACACACACCACACACCTCAGCCACACACACCACACACACACCTCAGCCACACACACACCTCAGCCACACACACCACACACACACCTCAGCCACACACACCTCAGCCACACACACCTCAGCCACACACACACCTCAGCCACACACACCTCAGCCACACACACACCTCAGCCACACACACCTCTCTGCGTTAAAGTCACCTGGAAATCTTCATTGAATTTCATGATGTCTCTGCTCTTCATGTTTTTTGTTTTGTTTTTTTATTAAAAAAATTACTTCATCGGAATGGTATGAAACTTGGTAAAGGTTTTGGCACTTGCTGTGTGAACACACACACACACACACAAAAGAAAATCATGGAAGTGATTCGAACAGGTTTAATGATCCTGATAACAACGGTCACACTTGTGCTCCTCGCGGTCAGAAACGAGCGCATTGTAAATGAATGAGAGTTTCCTCTAGTGGAAGCGTGTGGAACTGCAGCCGAACACACTCTCACTGACGCTCGATTACTGAGAGATCGGCTCACATGCGGAACACACTGGGGGAGAGTTATGGCTTTGATTTTATCACAGTTTTAGAGTAAAATGTGATTTTGAAAATATATATTTCATATAAAAATTGAAAATCATATTATTTTTGCTTTTTAGCAATAATCTGCCAAGTGTCGTCTTTCAAAAGGGGAATTTACGACAGTTTAAGTTGGAAATTTAATTTTAAGGTCTATGCTCAAAAAGTGAATAAATGGATTATAAATACAGTATAAGTACATGTAATTTAGTAACATAAAATCCCTAATCCATAAAACCATAAAATCCCCAAAAAATACAAAACATTATCAAACTAAAATAAAGTATATTAATTTCATTGAGATTTCATTTTTGACTGACACGCACCAGAGGGTGGCGCTGGTGTTTTCTCCCCTGTTGTGGCGTTTATGCGAGTGGGTTAGAAACAGAACGAGGGCGGGGCTTGATTTTGTCTGTGAGGATTTGATTGGATGGTGATGATGGTGATGTCTGCTGTCTCGTGATCAGGCTCGTCTGGCCGTGCTGCACGTCTGCACTAAACGTGTCCCTCTTCATCCGGACGTGTGTTTGCAGGATCTGGCTGATCAGACTGAGCTCTTCTCTGGAGCCGATCTAGAAAACCTGTGCAAAGAGGTAAATCACACACTCGCCGCCAGCACACACACACACACTCGCCGCCAGCACACACACACTCGCCGCCAGCACACACACACACACACTCGCCGCCAGCACACACACACACACACTCGCCGCCAGCACACACACACTCGCCGCCAGCACACACACACTCGCCACCAGCACACACACACACTCGCCGCCAGCACACACACACACTCGCCGTCAGCACACACACACACTCGCCGTCAGCACACACACACACTCGCCGTCAGCACACACACACTCGCCGCCAGCACACACACACTCGCCGTCAGCACACACACACACACTCGCCGCCAGCACACACACACACTCGCCGCCAGCACACACACACTCGCCGCCAGCACACACACACACTCGCCGCCAGCACACACACACACTCGCCGTCAGCACACACACACTCGCCACCAGCACACACACACACTCGCCGCCAGCACACACACACACACACTCGCCGCCAGCACACACACACACACACTCGCCGCCAGCACACACACACTCGCCGCCAGCACACACACACTCGCCGCCAGCACACACACACACACACTCGCCGCCAGCACACACACACACACACTCGCCGCCAGCACACACACACTCGCCGCCAGCACACACACACTCGCCACCAGCACACACACACACTCGCCGCCAGCACACACACACACTCGCCGTCAGCACACACACACTCGCCACCAGCACACACACACACTCGCCGCCACCACACACACACTCGCCGCCAGCACACACACACTCGCCGCCAGCACACACACACTCGCCGTCAGCACACACACACACTCGCCGCCAGCACACACACACTCGCCGCCAGCACACACACACACTCGCCGCCAGCACACACACACTCGCCGCCAGCACACACACACACTCGCCGCCAGCACACACACACTCGCCGCCAGCACACACACACACTCGCCGCCAGCACACACACACACTCGCCGCCAGCACACACACTCGCCGTCAGCACACACACACTCGCCGCCAGCACACACACACACACTCGCCGCCAGCACACACACACTCGCCGCCAGCACACACACACTCGCCGCCAGCACACACACACACACTCGCCGCCAGCACACACACACTCGCCGCCAGCACACACACACTCGCCGCCAGCACACACACACTCGCCGCCAGCACACACACACTCGCCGCCAGCACACACACACACTCGCCGCCAGCACACACACACACTCGCCGCCAGCACACACACACTCGCCGTCAGCACACACACACTCGCCGCCAGCACACACACACACTCGCCGCCAGCACACACACACACTCGCCGCCAGCACACACACACTCGCCGCCAGCACACACACACACTCGCCGCCAGCACACACACACACTCGCCGCCAGCACACACACACACTCGCCGCCAGCACACACACACTCGCCGCCAGCACACACACACTCGCCGCCAGCACACACACACACTCGCCGCCAGCACACACACACACTCGCCGCCAGCACACACACACTCGCCGCCAGCACACACACACACACTCGCCGCCAGCACACACACACTCGCCGCCAGCACACACACACTCGCCGCCAGCACACACACACTCGCCGCCAGCACACACACACACACTCGCCGCCAGCACACACACACTCGCCGCCAGCACACACACACTCGCCGCCAGCACACACACACTCGCCGCCAGCACACACACACACACTCGCCGCCAGCACACACACACTCGCCGCCAGCACACACACACTCGCCGCCAGCACACACACACTCGCCGCCAGCACACACACACTCGCCGCCAGCACACACACACTCGCCGCCAGCACACACACACTCGCCGCCAGCACACACACACTCGCCGCCAGCACACACACACTCGCCGTCAGCACACACACTCGCCGTCAGCACACACACACACTCGCCGCCAGCACACACACACACTCGCCGTCAGCACACACTCGCCGCCAGCACACACACACACTCGCCGCCAGCACACACACACACTCGCCGCCAGCACACACACACACTCGCCGCCAGCACACACACACACTCGCCGCCAGCACACACACACTCGCCGCCAGCACACACACACTCGCCGCCAGCACACACACACTCGCCGCCAGCACACACACACTCGCCGCCAGCACACACACACACTCGCCGCCAGCACACACACACTCGCCGCCAGCACACACACACTCGCCGCCAGCACACACACACTCGCTGCCAGCACACACTCGCTCTCTGCTGTCCTGTAAACCTGAACTCCTGTGTGTTCCAGGCGGCTCTTCTGGCCCTGCGTGAGGAGGGACTCGACGTGCCCTGCGTGAGGCACAAGTGCTTTATGGAGGCGCTTCAGATTTTGAGTCCATCGCTGAGTCCTGAACAACTTCAGCAGAACTTACACTCATGTCTCTAACAATAAAAATGTTTGTAATTTATGTACAAATGTCATGTTTTCAATGTTAATTTTCGAAGTAAAGTGTGTTTTTACAACTTTCCATAATAGGAAAAAAATAGAGCGATTAAAGGACAAAAGCTTAGGCCGCGCCACAGGGGCCTATATGTATTGTAATGGTGCAAAAAGTCAAACTTTAGAGGCATGTTATAAATAACCTTTATTGGAATATAAATGTACATAAGCTTAGCTGCAGGAATCTGTGAGGGCAACGGACAAGAAAATTGGTGTACTCAGGGCAGGCTTAGTAACAAACACCCTTGTATGGCTGTCTTGTCTATATACACTAAAAATAAGTGCTGTCAAAATAAGTGATTAATCCAAGTGATTAATCAAAAAATAAAAATAACTCATCATCCTGATTATTACCTTCCTGGTATGTACTATGCTCAATTATATAGCAGGGCTCTCAAGTTTTGAAGACAGGCAGCAGGAGTGACAGAATCACAATTCCAGGATATGCTTTTTTTCTTTGGTTGTTGCTTGAAATCTTACCCAGATACAATAGTGCTATTTTCTGATTGGCTATTGTGTAGCCCTTTCCCTTTTTTGATTGGCTGATAAGTGGCAGGCTGACTGCAGAACTCCAGGGGAGACGCGCTTGATTCCTGCCGGTTCCACAGTGAGAGCGGCGCGGCCAGAGACATAAATATATTATAAACAGTTTTTCCGCGAGAGAAATACAAAAGACCGAAATGAGTGACCTTGATGCTCAATGCGTGACACTTGAGAGCTCTGATATAGCTTATGGCAACAATGTTGCAGGTGCGATGCACAGCGTACAAACCGGAATATGTTTATACTTCTCATCCAACTACAATCAAATGCACTCGATTTATTTGGATAGTTTTTTTTTTTTTTTTACGATGACAAGCAGAAATGAAAACAAGCCGAAATGAAATAGCAGTAACAAGGCTATTTTTAAAATGTAAGGAGTAGAAAGTAGCCTACAGATAATTGCGTGAAAATGTAAGGAGTAGCCTAGAAGTAAAAAGTCGGCTGAAAAATAATTACTCCAGTAAAGTATAGATACCCAAAATGTGTGTTTGGACAGAATACGAGACAGAGTTCTTTATTAAATTCATAAAAGACCAAATACAGGAATACTGGCTTCTAAACCTCAAAGAAATGCCACAATCAAGACCTCTGAGCAGAAATAAGAGAGAAAACACCTCACATGTGCCGCTCACAGTATAAGGGTCTTTCCTTGCCATTAATGCTTGGATAACACGCTTAGGCCTACGTCTCTTTACATTAATAATAATAATAATGTCTAGTGCGCTGGCTGTGATTTATATATAAACCAACCAACGTCCGTTACCATGATTTTTGGAATGACTGATCGCGTGAGGAAAAAATGACGTTTTAGTCGCATAGCATCGTTTAATGGAAACGCCGTCATTTCGCAATAGTTCTTTATCGATATTTAGAAAGAAAAAAAGCGCGAATCTGTAATGGAAACGTGACAGCATTTAACATAGACTAATGGTGCGTTCACGTGCTATGGAAAATATGATATTTTCCACTTGTGAACTGGTATTTACCAGTGTGTTGCGTTCAAGTGCTTTTGTTGTCGTAATGTGGTAAAAAGATGGAGATAGAGACCTGTTATTTAGCTAAAACTATTTTAGATTGCTTAAGTCATCTGCTACAGCAAGAAAATTATTTATCAAAACTCAAACGGTAAATAATATGCTGTATATTTTCTAGATCATGAATAGTACATATTTTTACCATTCACAACTCTTGCGTTGCTCTCCGCCATTTTGAAAAGGTCAAAAGGTAATCTCATCTCAGCAACTCGTGCATCAAAATATTCTACGAGTTGCCCAGTGGAAAATACCACATGAGGGGGTGTTCATGTGCATTTTCCATGTCGGCTTTTGGTATTTACCATAATTACCATAGCACGTGAACGCACCATTACTTCTCAGAGTTATAGTGTTCATTATACCAACCATTCAACTCCGGATTGATTCTAAGCACCGGCAACAATCCGTCCTCCAACGCAAGCTCATGTTTTGGTTCAGATCGCGCTCGAAGAGGAGGGGCTATTCACGTCTCCGTTGTCAGTTTGTGAGAGGGGGAGGGAGGGAGCAAGCTGCGCGCAGCTCTACAATAAAATAAAATTTTACCCATATTAAATAGTTTAAAAATCTGAAAATCAATCCGTGGCGGTCAGCGTTGATATTGTGGCGGGCCGCCACAAATTAATGAATGTATGGGAAACCCTGGATAGTAGTAATTACAGGATATGGATTTGTTTAGAGTCTATTTACATATACTAATTCCTAATTCTTAGATTCCTAATCCCGTAATACTGTCACAGAGCAGTATTGCTGGGAGAGCACTGCAACTACTCAACCTCACAGCACACTACTCACAGCACACTACTCACAGCACACTACTCACACTACTTACAGCACACTACTCACAGCACACTACTCACAGCACACTACTCACAGCACACTAGTCACAGCACACTACTCACAGCACACTACTCACAGCACACTACTCACAGCACACTACTCACAGCACACTACTCACACTACTTACAGCACACTACTCACAGCACACTACTCACAGCACACTACTCACAGCACACTACTCACAGCACACTACTCACAGCACACTACTCACACTACTCAACCTCACAGCACAACTACTCACAGCACACTACTCACACTACTCAACCTCACAGCACAACTACTCACAGCACAACTACTCACAGCACACTACTCACAGCACACTACTCACAGCACACTAGTCACAGCACACTAGTCACAGCACACTAGTCACAGCACACTAGTCACAGCACACTACTCACAGCACACTACTCACAGCACACTACTCACAGCACACTACTCACAGCACACTACTCACAGCACACTACTCGCACTACTCACAGCACACTAGTCACAGCACACTACTCACAGCACACTACTCACAGCACACTAGTCACAGCACACTACTCACAGCACACTACTCACAGCACACTACTCACAGCACACTACTCACAGCACACTACTCACAGCACACTACTCACAGCACACTACTCACAGCACACTACTCACAGCACACTACTCACACTACTCACAGCACACTACTCACACTACTCACAGCACACTACTCACAGCACACTACTCAACCTGACAGCACACTACTCACACTACTCACAGCACACTACTCAACCTTACAGCACACTACTCACACTACTCACAGCACACTACTCAACCTCACAGCACACTACTCAACCTCACAGCACACTACTCAACCTCACAGCACACTACTCAACCTCACAGCACACTACTCAACCTCACAGCACACTACTCAACCTCACAGCACACTACTCACACTACTCACAGCACACTACTCAACCTCACAGCACACTACTCACACTACTCACAGCACACTACTCAACCTGACAGCACACTACTCAACCTGACAGCACACTACTCACAGCACACTACTCACACTACTCACAGCAAACTACTCACACTACTCACACTACTCACAGCACACTACTCACACTACTCACAGCACACTACTCACAGCACACTACTCACACTACTCACCGCACACTACTCACAGCACACTACTCTCACTACTCACAGCACACTACTCACAGCACACTACTCACAGCACACTACTCACAGCACACTACTCACAGCACACTACTCACAGCACACTACTCACACTACTCACAGCACACTACTCACCCTACTCACAGTACTCAACCTCACAGCACACTACTTACAGCACACTAGTCACAGCACACTACTCACAGCACACTTCTCAACCTGACAGCACACTACTCAACCTGACAGCACACTACTCACAGCACACTACTCACAGCACACTACTCAACCTGACAGCACACTACTCACAGCACACTACTCACACTACTCAACCTCACAGCACACTACTCAACCTCACAGCACACTACTCAACCTGACAGCACACTACTCACAGCACACTACTCACACTACTCAACCTCACAGCACACTACTCACAGCACACTACTCAACCTGACAGCACACTACTCATAGCACACTACTCAACCTGACAGCACACTACTCATAGCACACTACTCACAGCACACTACTCACACTACTCAACCTCACAGCACACTACTCACAGCACACTACTCAACCTGACAGCACACTACTCACAGCACACTACTCAACCTGACAGCACACTACTCATAGCACACTACTCACAGCACACTACTCACACTACTCAACCTCACAGCACACTACTCACAGCACACTACTCAACCTGACAGCACACTACTCACACTACTCAACCTCACAGCACACTACTCAACCTGACAGCACACTACTCAACCTGACAGCACACTACTCACAGCACACTACTCACACTACTCAACCTCACAGCACACTACTCACAGCACACTACTCAACCTGACAGCACACTACTCACAGCACACTACTCAACCTGACAGCACACTACTCAACCTGACAGCACACTACTCAGCACACTACTCAACCTCACAGCACACTACTCAACCTCACAGCACACTACTCACAGCACACTACTCACAGCACACTACTCACAGCACACTACTCAAAGCACACAACTCAACCTGATAGCACACTACTCACAGCATATTCTGGATCAGTTGCAGAGGTTTGACAGATGCTGGAAGGAGAGAGCATTACAATAGTCCAGTCTGGAGAGAACAAGAGCTTGGAGAAGGAGTTGTGTAGCTCTAATAGGAAGGACCTGATCCTCTTGGTGTTGTCTGCAGGACCGGCTGTTCTAGCCATGTGTTCTGTGAAGCGGTCCCAGCACTGAGCCCTGAGGCACTCCAGTAGCTAGATGATAACAGTGATGGGATAAACCATGTTTCTGAATGACAGACACTAGTGATGACATGTAGATGGAGAAGAGAAGCGGTCCCAGCACTGAGCCCTGAGGCACTCCAGTATCTAGATGATAACAGTGATGGGATAAACCATGTTTCTGAATGACAGACACTAGTGATGACATGTAGATGGAGAAGAGAAGCGGCCCCAGCACTGAGCCCTGAGGCACTCCAGTAGCTAGATGATAACAGTGATGGGATAAACCATGTTTCTGAATGACAGATCCTAGTGATGACATGTAGATGGAGAAGAGAAGCGGTCCCAGCACTGAGCCCTGAGGCACTCCAGTAGCTAGATGATAACAGTGATGGGAGAAACCATGTTTCTGAATGACAGACACTAGTGATGACATGTAGATGGAGAAGAGAAGCGGTCCCAGCACTGAGCCCTGAGGCACTCCAGTAGCTAGATGATAACAGTGATGGGAGAAACCATGTTTCTGAATGACAGATCCTAGTGATGACATGTAGATGGAGAAGAGAAGCGGTCCCAGCACTGAGCCCTGAGGCACTCCAGTAGCTAGATGATAACAGTGATGGGAGAAACCATGTTTCTGAATGACAGATCCTAGTGATGACATGTAGATGGAGAAGAGAAGCGGTCCCAGCACTGAGCCCTGAGGCACTCCAGTATCTAGGATCAGTGGTTTTCAAACCCTGGGTCGCGACCCTCGGGTGGGTCGCGAGAATTAAAAAATGGGTCGCCAGTGATTTAAAAAAAAAATATTAATAATAATAGCTTTGAAACAACGAAACAAACTGAATGCTTCTCCTGACATGCGTGTTGCCCTCTCGTCCTGCGAACCGGCTTGGGACCAGATTATGCAGAATAAGCAGGCCCTTCTCATTAATATACACAAAACACGCACTCGTTCGCTCCACCCGCAACACACACACGTTCGCTCCATCGGCAACAACACACTAACACTCGTCGTTCCTTCCTAGGGCTGTCAAAATTAGGCTACTCAAAAATTACGTTCTAAAAAATCCCTCTAAAAAAACACATATGCTATATTCGAACTATTCGAACATCTGGTTGTGCATTTTGTCAATGACGCGCATTACGTCAATAAGGTCAAATTAATACAAAGAGACATAACTACTTGTTTAGGTAGTTTATTTAAGTTTAAACATATTTGACAACGTATTACTACACAAAAACAAGTAGCCTAAATCAACTAATGGCCAAGACCGCAGACCTCACTCTCACTAGGCACTCTTTCTCTCTCTCTCTCCCTCACCTCACGCTCTCTGCGCATGACGGTTTAAATGAACAACAGCAACGATAAACAAATGTTGAGTGCTGATCAAGAGTTTTGTGCAAGCAATTTAAGGTCGTGACCATTGTCCCAAATATAGCAGGCTTCATTCAGTGATTGAAACAAATATTATTAACATTAATTGAAGTTTTAAAGAACCGACATTGAACGCCCCGAGCGAGCTGTGCTGTGGTAAACATGGAACTTTTCCTTGACATGAAACGGTAAATAATCAAACCAGTGAAGCCTGCGATGCATGGAACTGCTGTATCTAACCTACCTTATTCATGCAATAAATAAGAATAAGAAATAAAAAACTTTCAGCTGTGCCAGTGCGACTCTTGTGACCTGTCCCTGATCCCTCAGGCAGCGCCCACTCGCAAAGCAGACAGCCGCGCCTCTGATACCGCGGGCGTGTTTTTCCACATTCAAATATTAATTTTCACATTCGAAATTCTGTTTTTTAAAACTATTCGAATATAGGCCTATTCGAATTTGGAATATTCGTTGACAGCCCTATTCTCATTTGAATTATAAATAAGTTTGCTTTTAAATTGTGTGTGATTTTGGTTGGGTGACAGTTAAGTTTGACAAGAGTTTACAGTTTGACAAAACCACAATGTTGTGTTTTAACAATGTTGTGTCGAGTGTACACAAGTATAAATAAACACTTTGCAGTTTGAATGATGTCCTGTATGAACGACGGAGTATATTTTTTGTTTCCAGTGCCGCGCCTCACACACACACACACACACACACACACACAAATACACCATTCCAGGCTTGACATCGCAGCCTGTTCATTATAGCCGAAATAAAAATATGACAATAAAATAGTCAACCTAATATAAAAATCACACTGCTCTGTTTAAATAGTCAATTCGTACCATTCAGCGTAAGCACCGCTCAACCGTGATGTTTCCAAGCACATTTTTGCGCATGTGAAAAGGATGATTTTTTTTCCTGTCGATATTGCAGCGTGAGTGAAGTTGCTACAACGCCTATAATAAAGAATAGTTTACCATCTAATACATCGCGAATGTTAAAATATTTTGATTCTAATGAGAGAGTTAGGCTACGTGAGCATAATGCCCCTTTTACTTTCCCTTTAAATTATTTCGTTTTGGCTTGTTTAGTTATTATTTTTTTATTCTTGTTCTGTTCTGTATATAATTAATATTACATTTAAAGAGTTTGTTGTGGAATATGTTTTGTGTATTTGTACTTTTTAAGCATTCAGCAAATGATAAGCTATTTATTGGTTAAAAGTCCTGTATGTAGGCCTATAGCTTGATCAAATTATTTCAGAATCGACTTTGCGTTGCAATCGCGTCAAGGATCAGCAAGTGCACGTGCATCATCAAAAGTAAAGTGGTTAAAAAAAGTGCTTAAAGAAAGGTTAAAGAAAAAAAATTATACGCACAAGCCTATGGGTCGCGTAAAAAAAAAAAGAAAAAAAAAAGGGCCCCTCTTGAAAAAGTTTGAAAACCACTGATCTAGATGATAACAGTGATGGGATAAACCATGTTTCTGAATGACAGATCCTAGTGATGACATGTAGATGGAGAAGAGAAGTGGTCCCAGCACTGAGCCCTGAGGCACTCCAGTATCTAGATGATAACAGTGATGGGATAAACCATGTTTCTGAATGACAGACACTAGTGATGACATGTAGATGGAGAAGAGAAGCGGTCTCAGCACTGAGCCCTGAGGCACTCCAGTAGCTAGATGATAACAGTGATGGGATAAACCATGTTTCTGAATGACAGACACTAGTGATGACATGTAGATGGAGAAGAGAAGCGGTCCCAGCACTGAGCCCTGAGGCACTCCAGTAGCTAGATGATAACAGTGATGGGATAAACCATGTTTCTGAGTGACAGATCCTAGTGATGACATGTAGATGGAGAAGAGAAGCGGTCCCAGCACTGAGCCCTGAGGCACTCCAGTATCTAGATGATAACAGTGATGGGATAAACCATGTTTCTGAATGACAGACACTAGTGATGACATGTAGATGGAGAAGAGAAGCGGTCCCAGCACTGAGCCCTGAGGCACTCCAGTATCTAGATGATAACAGTGATGGGATAAACCATGTTTCTGAATGACAGACACTAGTGATGACATGTAGATGGAGAAGAGAAGCGGTCCCAGCACTGAGCCCTGAGGCACTCCAGTATCTAGATGATAACAGTGATGGGATAAACCATGTTTCTGAATGACAGACACTAGTGATGACATGTAGATGTAGAAGAGAAGCGGTCCCAGCACTGAGCCCTGAGGCACTCCAGTATCTAGATGATAACAGTGATGGGATAAACCATGTTTCTGAATGACAGACACTAGTGATGACATGTAGATGGAGAAGAGAAGCGGTCCCAGCACTGAGCCCTGAGGCACTCCAGTAGCTAGATGATAACAGTGATGGGATAAACCATGTTTCTGAATGACAGATCCTAGTGATGACATGTAGATGGAGAAGAGAAGCGGTCCCAGCACTGAGCCCTGAGGCACTCCAGTAGCTAGATGATAACAGTGATGGGATAAACCATGTTTCTGAATGACAGACACTAGTGATGACATGTAGATGGAGAAGAGAAGCGGTCCCAGCACTGAGCCCTGAGGCACTCCAGTAGCTAGATGATGGTCTTAGACACATCTCCCCTCCACGACACCCTGAAGGACCTGCTGAGAGGTCAGACCTGAACCACTGGAGTGCTTTTTCTGAGATGCCCTTTTCATTTATATACATGTTTATACTAGTTACTTTAAAAAAAAAAAAATGAATCCTCAACAACAAAGGTTATCTCTTCTTTACTCCTTTGCCCATGCTTTTACTAAGGGTCCATCCTGGTCATTTATAAGGAGGCGAGCAACAGTTCATTGACACCTTAAATGTGCTGTGGAGTGTAAGTGGAGAAGACTTCAGAGTTCCTCAGACATCCTTTTATCTCATATTTGTGATAGTGTGAGGAAGATTGTCATTGTCTCCAGCAGAGGGCGCTCATCAGTTTCAGTATGAAGGTGAAGTGCCTAAGAGGATGTGTGTGTGTGTGTGTGTGTGTACGTGCCATCAAACACATCTCTCACAGTCAGAACGAAGCTGCATTTACAACACAACTTCAGAAGGTCGGTTCACTCTCAACATCTTCATCATCATTGATGTTTGTTCATCTGTGACTCTCAAACTCTCATTGAAACACTGAATAGAAAATAATAATTTTGGATATTGTTTTCTTTAGGAAGCCTCTTTGTAGCAGGTGAAAGATGTCTGGGGGGTTTATTAAAATGCTCAAGAAAAGGAAGGAGGTGAGTAAGAATTATCATCATCATCATCTGGAATATTTTATCACTCCAACTGTTTCACTTATTCTTTTCTGGACTTGTTCTAGTTAATTCCTTTGATTGGGTTTGTTGGTTGTGCCGCACTCGGAGGAGTGACAGCCTCCGTTTACTTCTTACTGACCAAACCGGATGTCATGTGAGAAACTTCATCTTTATTATAGATTTATTAAATTAATGAATACGGTTAATAATAAACATCATTATGAGTCTATATATAAAGTGCTTCCTGTATGCTTTATTGTTACTGTGGAGAAGTTCTGTTGGTTTCTTGCAAAATGAAAGTTTTTAATGTATGATGATTATGAGTGATATAATATGACATATAATGTTGTGTACAGTGATAACATTACTTGACTTTTATAGTTTAAACAGGTCAAGAAACCCAGAGCCATGGGAGACACTAGATCCGTCCAAACCACAGAAGGTAAACGCCTAATCGTTCCGCACCGACGGGTTATGCCCATGTTTGTTCTTTAATATAATAGCAGGAGCTCAAAGTGCGGTTCGATTCCCAGTGAATGCAGTGTACGTCACAGCAACAGCAATAATACCAGATGAGGAAAGAGACGCTGTGGAAGATGAAGCGGTTGAGGAGTGATCAACACAAGAGACGCTTTAACAGATTCTCTGTTTTCTTTCAGCTGATGTCGATTAACCAGCAGTGGAAACCAGTGGAGGAGCTGGAGCTGGTGAAGAAACTGACCAGATGATCTCCTCTCCTCTGATTTACTGATATACTCTCAGGACTCTGCATTTTAAAAGGGATGATAAAAGCATCTGCTAAATGAATAAATGTAAATTTTGCACTGTAAAAATCACTCAAAACTTGAATAAACTCTTGAAAATTCTTGCTGATGCCTGTCTTTCTGACGAGAAGAATTGAACTTTGCTTATGAATTCGTGCTTAAATCCGTTCAGCTTGCGTTGATATCTCTCAGTGTTTCCTTCAGCCAGAACAACAGGAGAATAAATCAAACCTGTCGCCGGATCCGCTGACTCACACTGAGGAGGAAACTAACCCTCCCTGCTTCCGTCGTCATGCTGGAGAAACAAACGTTCATCTCTGACCTGAAGATCCTGCTTTCATTCGCAGGCCAGATCATTACAGAGAGGCTGATGTGCTTCACATGTGTGTGTGAGAGGTGTGTGTGTCATGAACACAGCCCATGTTATTATACCAGAAACTCGCTGCATCATCATGAACATTCCCATCAGCCCATGTTCTCCAGCCACACGTCTGAGCCGGTTTACGTCTGGTTGCACAAGAATGAATTCTAGTTAGAACGAGTCTCTCTCTCTCTGTGTGTGTGTGTGTACGTGGCTCCGTGTTCTGTCCTGATGTCGCCCATCATGTGACCAGGAAGTGTTTGACACCACAACTGAACACTGGTGACTGATGTGTCACGTCTTTAAATTTCCCATCAAGATGAATGTAGGGAAAGTGTTTTATGAGCTGTATAACTATTGTGAGTTGATTTATATCTCACAAATCTGACTTTTTCATCTTAATTGTGAAATATAAACTCACAATTAAAATGCCCTTTTTATGCTTTATCAGATATGGCCTTTCATGCAGTGTGTAATAAAGCTGTAAAAGATCAGTTCAGATAAATGGAGTTGTTGTTTACTAAAAGAAAGAAGTGATTCTGAACTGAAACGAGTCGTCAGTAATTCAGTCTCACTTCCTGCTGATCCTGCGTAGGTTTGTGACTAATTAGCATAATGCCAGCCTGTGGTGTTGATTGGCTGAGCAGCGTCTCTTAGCTCCGCCCTCAAACACTGTAGTGTATCTGAGACTGGGAGAGTTCGGCTCGTGTTGTTCGTGTCGAGGAGACGCTGTTTTCTGAGATTGAGACGGTGAAACCCACGCCATCGTCACTGTTCGCATCACTGTGATCAAGAGCTGAGATTCAGATATGATAATGAGCGTTTGCTTTCTGACCAATCACAGCAGAGCAGCTCTCAGAGAGGCGGAGCTTAGAGAGACTGAGTCCTTGATGGAAGCGTTTCAGACACTGAGAGGAAAGAGCTGAAGCTGCAGTGGAGATTATGAGGACATTAGTGTGTGTTTGAGCTTGGATGAATGTGAACCTGTTGTAGGAGACGCCCAAACAACATTAGCAGCCTTTAAAATAGCAGAATAGGGGTTTTAAACATTGTATTATGACACTTTATTCCATGGCGGAAACACGCTTCCATGGATATTAGTGATTTGTTCATAGTAACTAAAATCATCGGAAGGCTTAAATCCTGTGTGACTCCATCATGTCCCGGAGTGAAACTGAATTTACACTTGAGAAACTCTTTGTACGTCACTTTCCATGAAGATCATTCACACATCTATTCCTAAGAGACCGCAGCACATCATCAAATCACAAACACAACTTCTGTTCCAGACACACACACACCCTGAAAAAACTCGACAGTCGTTCGTAATCAGCAGACAAACTGGAGATGATGAACACGATGCGCAAACATCCCAAACCTGAAGCCCGTGATTCAAAGAAAACTCAAAGAAAACCGAATGAAGACATTAAAAATGTATTTATTTCAAGTTACCAAGCGCTTCAGTGTAACTCCATCATCCTCAGACACACAACCAACAAATACTGCAAACAGAGAAAACCACCCAAAGCCTGACAATCTGTTTCAGAAAACAAACAAACAAAACTATAAAAAAAAATACAAATAATAAAAAGGCATATCGGCCAAATACTGATGAGAGGCACTGATAGTTAAATATTAATTATATCTGCATCTTGAGGGAAAAATAAATGAAATAAAAAGATAAAAGGAAGATTGTGTCGTTCTGAGATCATGTAGGCACACACACATCTGCAGGATATGATTACAAATGTCTGAAATATACAAAACTACAGTAATGAGTGTGTTACAGTGATAATGTGAACTACTGTCTGTCCTGTCAAACTATGATTGTCCGTCGATTGATGAATTCTACAAACATGTGAAATATTTAATGTGTTGCACTGAGAGACACTGAGCGCGTGCGGAGCGTTTGGATGATTTCAGAGCTGTCAGAATGTGAATCTCATGAAAAGCTGTTCAGGTCATATTTTACCCCAAAAAACATTAACGTCTCTTTTGTATTTTTAGCACCCCACCAAATTCAATGTGAAAAAATAAATATATTCTTTAAATTGTGAAGTTGTATACATCGCATATGTGTTCCACTGCCTTTAATTTATGAGAAATGAGAAATAAATCCAAACTCATTACATTAATGATTTTTTTTTTTTTTGCAACATAACCATGAGAACTCAAAAGGAAAACAGGCTTAAATGTGATTAAAAGTTGCACAAAGAATCCAGGTTTTATTCTACTCATGCAAAAAAGAAGCTTGTTTTGTCCTGTAATGTTGTGGTTTACTGTGAGCCGTTCTCGTGAGATTCACTCCAGAACACACAGACACACACACATAAAAGCGGGTCCTAAAACACACCTTTCTCCTGTGAGCACGTCTGTTTTAAAGGTTTATCAAAATGAGGTCAATATTTATTATAGAAAAGCTGCTAGACAATCATTAAAACCCTGCTGGGTCAATGTCAGTTTACTCGTCTCTCTCTCTCCTTGTGTGTGTGTGTGTGTGTGTCAGTGAGTGAGTGAGTGAGAGAGAGAGAGAGAGAGACAGTGTGTGCAGGACTGCGGCGCACCCTGTCTCTCTCTCTCTCCTCTGTGTGTGTGTGTGTGTGTGTGTGTGTGTGTATGTCAGTGAGAGAGAGAGAGAGAGAGAGAGAGAGAGAGAGAGAGAGAGAGAGAGAGAGAGAGAGAGAGAGAGAGAGAGAGAGAGAGAGAGAGAGAGAGAGAGAGAGAGAGAGAGAGGCAGTGTGTGCAGGACTGCGGCGCCCCCTGTCTCTCTCTCTCTCCTCTGTGTGTGTGTGTGTGTGTGTGTGTGTGTATGTCAGCGAGAGAGAGAATGGCAGTGTGTGCAGGACTGTGGCATCTCATGTCTCTGCGTCTGTAGTTGAACCGTACAGTGTGTCACGCCGTGTGACATCATCAGCAGGCGCCGTGCTTTTGACTGCACTTCCTCCCAGTTACCCACAATCCCCGGCACTAAACACACAACACAGGCAGATGCAAAACCATTAGTCCAATATCAGGGCGACAGACAACATCTGCCTGTGACGCTTCATGATCTTAATGTGCTGGAACTCACCAGCTGGTACTGGTGTTGGTCTGGTGTGGGTGTGCTGTGGGTGTGGTGTTGGTCTGGTGTGGGTGTGGTCTGGTGTGGATGTGGTGTTGGTCTGGTGTGGTCTGGTGTGGGTGTGGTGTTGGTCTGGTGTGGGTGTGGTGTTGGTCTGGTGTGGGTGTGGTCTGGTGTGGGTGTGGATGTGGTCTGGTGTGGGTGTGGTCTGGTGTGGGTGTGGTCTGGTGTGGGTGTGGTGTGGGTGTGGTGTGGATGTGGTGTTGGTCTGGTGTGGGTGTGGATGTGGTCTGGTGTGGGTGTGGTGTTGGTCTGGTGTGGGTGTGGGTGTGGTCTGGTGTGGGTGTGGATGTGGTCTGGTGTGGGTGTGGTCTGGTGTGGATGTGGTGTTGGTCTGGTGTGGGTGTGGTCTGCTGTGGGTGTGGTCTGGTGTGGGTGTGGTCTGGTGTGGATGTGGTGTTGGTCTGGTGTGGGTGTGGATGTGGTCTGGTGTGGGTGTGGTGTTGGTCTGGTGTGGGTGTGGTCTGCTGTGGGTGTGGTCTGGTGTGGGTGTGGTCTGGTGTGGATGTGGTGTTGGTCTGGTGTGGGTGTGGATGTGGTCTGGTGTGGGTGTGGTGTTGGTCTGGTGTGGGTGTGGTGTTGGTCTGGTGTGGATGTGGTGTTGGTCTGGTGTGGGTGTGGTCTGGTGTGGGTGTGGTGTTGGTCTGGTGTGGGTGTGGTCTGCTGTGGGTGTGGTCTGGTGTGGGTGTGGTGTGGATGTGGTGTTGGTCTGGTGTGGGTGTGGTGTTGGTCTGGTGTGGATGTGGTGTTGGTCTGGTGTGGGTGTGGTCTGGTGTGGGTGTGGTGTGGGTGTGGTGTGGGTGTGGTGTGGATGTGGTGTTGGTCTGGTGTGGGTGTGGATGTGGTCTGGTGTGGGTGTGGTGTGGGTGTGGTGTTGGTCTGGTGTGGGTGTGGTGTGGGTGTGGTGTTGGTCTGGTGTGGGTGTGGTGTGGGTGTGGTGTTGGTCTGGTGTGGGTGTGGATGTGGTCTGGTGTGGGTGTGGTCTGGTGTGGGTGTGGTGTTGGTCTGGTGTGGGTGTGGTCTGGTGTGGGTGTGGTGTGGGTGTGGTGTTGGTCTGGTGTGGATGTGGTGTTGGTCTGGTGTGGGTGTGGTCTGGTGTGGGTGTGGTGTTGGTCTGGTGTGGATGTGGTGTTGGTCTGGTGTGGGTGTGGTCTGGTGTGGATGTGGTGTTGGTCTGGTGTGGGTGTGGTGTTGGTCTGGTGTGGGTGTGGTCTGGTGTGGATGTGGTGTTGGTCTGGTGTGGGTGTGGTGTGGGTGTGGTGTTGGTCTGGTGTGGTCTGGTGTGGGTCTGGTGTGGGTGTGGTCTGGTGTGGGTGTGGTGTTGGTCTGGTGTGGGTGTGGTCTGGTGTGGATGTGGTGTTGGTCTGGTGTGGGTGTGGTCTGGTGTGGATGTGGTGTGGGTCTGGTGTGGGTGTGGTGTTGGTCTGGTGTGGGTGTGGTCTGGTGTGGATGTGGTGTGGGTCTGGTGTGGGTGTTGGTCTGGTGTGGATGTGGTCTGGTGTGGGTGTGGTGTTGGTCTGGTGTGGGTGTGGTCTGGTGTGGATGTGGTGTTGGTCTGGTGTGGGTGTGGTGTTGGTCTGGTGTGGGTGTGGTGT